CTACCCAAGGAAGGCCCACCTTTGGATCCCCCACTGCTCCTCATGCCTCTCCCCTCCACCCACAGAACATAGTTTCCTTTCAAAAGGCAATACACACAAGCTGTGATGGACTCTGGGGAAGGAACGAGAATTCTCTTTCAAGATGGCAGGATGATTTGGAAGGATAAAATAATACCCCACTTTATTCATTTTTCAAAGGCTCTGTAAGGATTATCACATTTCCACAGTACATATGCAGACCTGTATGTCTAATATTTCTTATCTGATGCTTAATAAAACAGAAAAAAACAACAACAAAACAGCCCCAATGATTTGTGATTTTTCTCCCCTTTAAGACTAAAAGATACCCACAAGACTACCTCCGTTGGTACCAGATCCAGCCACTGGCAATCCTGCTCCACACATCTGCATGGAGAAAACGTCGGGGATCTTTGCTTGCATCACAAGGGAGTCAAAGAACGTCTCCAGAGAACTTGATGGCTGCGGGAAGTGAAAAGAAGGGCAAGAACTTCATGACTCACAGTGCAGATAAGGAATGGCCCAATGTTTATACACAATATTATTTTTCTTTACACTTAATTTTCCAGGGCTAAACAATAAGCAAGCTTGTGATTAGGCAGAGTAATTGTTGTTAGGTGTCGTCGAGTCGGTTCCAACTCACAGAGATCCCATGTACAACCCAACGAAATACTGCCCGGTCCTGCGCCATCTTCACAATAGTAGGTATGTTTGAGCCCATTGTTACAGCTCACTGTGTCAGTCCATCTCATTGAGGGTCTTCCTCTTTTTTGGCGACCCTATACTTTCCCAAGCATGATGTCCTTCTCCAGGGACTGATCCCTCCTAATAGCATGTCCCAAGTACGTGCGATGAAGTCTCGCCATCCTCCCTTCTAAGGAGCATTCTTCCAAGACAAATTTGTTTGTTCTTCTGGAAGTCCATGGTACATTCAATATTCTTCACCAACACCACAATTCGAATGCATCAATTCTTCGGTCTTCCTTATTCATTGTCCAGATTTTGCATGCAATGTGGCGACTGAAAATATTACGGCTTGGGTATAGGTGCACCTTTGTCCTCAAAGTGACATCTTTGCTTTTGAACACTTTGCAGGGATCTTTTGCAGCAGATTTGCCGAATGCAATACGTCGTTTGATTTCTTGACTGCTGTTTCTATAGGTGTTGATTGTGGATCTAAGTAAAATGAAATCCTTGACAACTTCGATCTTCTCCCTGTTTATCATGATGTTGCTTATTGGTCCAGTTTTGAGGACTTTGTTTTCTTTGTATTGAGGTGTAATCCATACTGAAGGCTGTAGTCTTTGATCTTCACCAATAAGTGCTTCAAGTCTTCCTCACTTTCAGCAAGCAAAGTTTTGTCATCTGCGTAACGCAGGTTGTTAATGAGTCTTCCTCCAATCCTGATTCCTCGTTCTTCTTCATATAGTCCAGCTTCTCGGATTATTTGCTCAGCATATAGACTGAATAAGTATGATGAAAGGATACAACCCTGACACACACCTTTCCTGCCTTTAAACCACACAGTATCCCCTCGTTCAGAACTATCAGCTGCATGGTATTTTGCTATTTTTCCTTTTGGTGCTCCACTGTTGTAAAAATAAGATCGCATTTCCAGAAGCTATTAAGATGCTGTCACATCATGACTGCCTTGCGAGGCCGGCGTGAGAAGACGTGGAGGTGGGGGATTCTAATCTTAGACCTTCCAGTAAGGAGACAGCAGTCTCTTGACAAGCCACCTTTGCTTCTGAAGTTTTTATTCACCTTTCTTAGCCCTAGTGGGTCTGTCACACCGAAGAGATGACTAGTCCTTGAGGAAAGCTCACCACAGACCCCAGTTGGTGACAGAAGGCTTAGATCTGAGAGTTCTGAGCTCTTGGCAAGCTGTATCCTGAACCCTGGCGACTGGGCAAGA